TATATATATATATAAATGAGAATGTCAGAATTGATAGGATTATGAGTTAGGCTTTCATAATGATTAATCATTTTTTATTTAAGGAAGTGTAAGCATATCAACAAATATCTATCTGACTATGCATTAACATAGCTTATATAAACTTGATTTGAATTTAGTGTGAACAAAAGGTATAAATAAAACATATGGCCAGAAGGTGTTTTCGTATATCTGCTATTATATACTTGCTGATATAAAACATCAATTATCTCGTAAACTATTGACATTTCGATGACCTTCATTGAATACTTTTTAACGCAGAATAAAAAAAGGAATCGAATAGTGTAAAAAAAAATTTAAGGTTTTATTTAAAAAAAAAAAGTGCAACTGCATCTAGCTGGTGCATCGATGATGCACTTTCAAAAAAATTAAGGTCGTAGAAAGTTGACATTTGTTGTGCCATATAACTTTTTCCTTTATGATTTTTTTTCTATTGTTACTTAAAAAAAAAGTTATTACTCGCCTAAGTTCCAAAAATCGCCCTGTATACAATGAATAATTTGAATGGACGGATATCAAAAAAATTTGTATCGTAAAGAACTTGGTTCATAAAAAAAAAACCATGATCAGTCTATTATATACTAAAGCAACATCATTTTCGAGTGGTTATTCTTGTAAAATAAATTTTACAAGAAGAATCACTTATGTTTCTTTTTTTTTTTTTTTTTTCTTTATAAAATTGAAATAAGAAATTGATTTATACAGTCTCTCTATGTAAAGTTTAATAATATCAAGGATTTAAAATAAGTCATTCGTAAAACCGGTTCAAATCGATTTCTGAAAGAATAAAAAATATTAAGAAACTCGAATAACTACTTATCAATAAAAATGTGAAAGTTTTAAAATTTTCGATAAGTGGGACATTCCATTCCCAGGGTAAGGTTTCCGTATAATTTCATTAATTATTATTATCGATATATATTATATATTATAACAGTTGTTTTGTCATAAATAAAATATCAATTTTTCATTTGAATTGTTTTATCATAGATTTTTACAATATAAAAACCACCCCCACACGCTACACTCTTTCTTTTTTTTTTTTTCTTCAAATAATATTTTTAAAATAAAAACAAATATTTCTACAAAATATATAACAAAGAGGTACATAATATTTACATGTATATATATATATATATATATTATAATATATATTATATAATAATATATTATACATAATAATGTATTATATATAATAATTATATATGGCTAGTTCTCTAAAAAAATCGAAATTGATGTCCTTGATCATTTTTATAAAACTGTCATTTCCTCATTTTCAAATTTTTTTAAAAATTTTTATATTCAATTCAAACTCAATAAAGTTGGGTACCACTAACTATAATATTTTCCACAAACAAGACATATACTACGACTTGAGCAAAAAAAAATTCGATTACGAGTTAAAAAAAAAACTGATCAACTCGATAAAGCCATTTTCGATTTTTTTGGATATATATATATATATATAAATATTATAATAACAGATTTTACATAACAAATAATATATAGTAAAACGTCTATACATTATATGAATCATATATAATTACAGATGTATAATATTATTATATAATGAAATTATGTATAATTATGTATAATAAAAAAGAAAGTATAACATTATATGAATAATTTAATACAATTATTAATAATAANTAATAATAATAATAATAATAATAATAATAATAATAATAATAATAATAATAATAATAATAATAATAAATATTAATAAAAATATATATATATATATATATATATATATATATATATATCTCCTTGCACCTTTGTTTTCATTTATTTTTTCTTCTTTTAAATATCATTATTAATACCTCATAAATTTTAAAATGACTAAAAAAAAAAAAAAAACAGAAAAAGATTTTATTTGGAAAAAATAGTAATGTTAATATAATCCGTTTACGTTAATTATTATGATATTAACAATCCTCTTCTCGTTCATTAAATTGATTTTCATAATTTATTATCTTTCTTTTTCGAGAAATAACTTGGTTATTAAATACAAATATAAAAAAAAAAGAAAAAACATATCGTCATATTATAATTCGATTTCTTCAATATTTTTCGCGCCATCATCGTCGTCGTCCTTAGTCGTAGTCGTCATCGTTGTTCACTTTGTGTTCGTTGTCATAAGTCGGGGGGGTTATAAACGAACGAGAGACGGTATAAAGCAGAGTGCACATACGATTTGCACGCACTGATATCAAGAAAAGAGGAAAACAGAGAGAAATAAAGAGTAAAAGAAAGAAAGAGACAGAGAAAGGGAGAGAGCGAGAGAAAGAGAGAGTGAAAGAAAGAAAGAAAGAAAGAAAGAGAAAGGGATATTCGTGCTTGTAATAAGACACTCGTGATTTTTACATTTATTATAATATAACAAAATTTAATTTGTAATTTCTAAAAAAAAAAAAAAAAAAAAAACTTCGAAAAATTCATGTAAAAAGAAGTATTTATCATAGTGCCGTTTTATTTGTCATTTCGATCAATTTGTTAATCATACAGTTCGATTTATATATCGAAGGAAAATATTTTTGCACTTCGTCTCGGTGAGTGTTAATATTTTATTTTTTTTTTTTTCATTCGTTACTAATAATTATTTTATCGTTTTCATGTAACAATAATATAAAAAGGGGGGAGGTTTGTTTTTTTTTTTTTGTTTAAATTTAGTACAAAAATGTATATTCATTTATATTCTGTATTCTTTGACTTTTATTAGATTTATTTAAATATAGATAATGTAATAATGCACACTAGGTGTATTTACAAATTAATGTGATCTTTGATATTATTTCTAATGGCAATTGCTTTCGAAAAGGTGAAGGTTTTTAAAACGAGGGGGGAAAAAGAAATTCATATTTTACGTTTTATTTTTCAATCGGCAGACCTGCATTTGCAAGTCACATTGAGATATGGTTTGCAATAAAATCAATAAAATACGAAAGAGAAGTTAGAAATTAGTAGAGGAAAAGAGTTAAATTGAATTATATTGGAAAGATTAAAGTGAATAGGGACAAATTTTCATACAGAGTATGAAATATTGGAAATATTGAGAAAAAAAAAATGGAAGAAAATATTGAAAAGATATTTTTAACAAAATAGGAATATAAATGTAAATCAATGAGAACAATAATAATCAAATTATAATATACACACTAATCAAGAATTCGTACTTGTAATTAAAATAATATACCGTGTAAACTTAAATTAAAATGAATTTTTCATTCATCGAATTATTTCGAAAAGATTAATAAACGAGTACAATAAAGTCAATAATATTTTAACAACAAATAATTTCTTTATTTTGAATTGTATTACCTAGAAATGAATAATTAATAGAATTTTAATATAAATCAAGGATCACAAGGAAAAAATAAATTTATTATCTAGAAATTAAATTAACAGAATTTTTATCAAAAAAAAAAAACAAACAAACAAACGTCGAGCTCGATATTTCATTATCAAAAGAATTTTTATATAAATCAAGGACCACACATTATCAAAAGAATTTTTTTCTATAAGTCAAAGATCATGTAAAGAATAAATTTTATATCATGCAGAGTTATTAATCAAATGTGTTAATAAGAATAACGTCCATTGTATTAATATGAATATTTTTAAACTTAATTAATAATCAATAAGATAATTATATTAATTAACATGTCAGTGATTGTTTATATGTGCCAATAATTATCTATGAAAATGGTCTAAGACATATATCTCTTGTTTCGAGATATTTAAAGATTTATACTTGAACGCTATATGAATTCTACAGAATATTGAAATAACAAACATTATCTAACGATTCATTTTTGATAATATCGTGAAAATTACATTGAATTTATTTAGTTTATAATAATGTAGTGTGTAATAACTGATAAACTCATTTTTTTTTTTTAAATTAATTTTGACTTACAATTAGACCATTTTCATAATTATGGGCACATATTATATCGTATTATACTAATTATACATTAATCTTTTATGTGAATATCATTTTATGTTTAATTGTCGGCTAATTTTTGTAGATGACTCCTTTCAAATCAACGTTATCAAATTTTTATTGAAATATATTTCAATGCTTACAAAATGTGCATTTAACATTGGTACAGCAGTGCATCAATGAAATTGATAATTTCAAAAAACAATGTGTGATAAGATACACTATATCATAATGAAACTCGACAAGTCTTTCGTTTTAATTTTTCTTTATATTAATAGTAGTCTTGTTAAGGTAATTTGTTTAAAAAAAAAAAAAAAAAAAAGAAAAAGCAAACGATAATCAAGAGTAGTTTTTCCTCTTAGGAGAAAAAAAATCTTAGACCAAAGTGTTGGTTTTTTTTTTTTCTCTCTTTCTCATTTACGCTGTGTATGTGATGTTGTTTACTTTCTGAAAAAAAAATATTCGAAAAAGAAAAAAATGTTAAAACCTAATCAAGACATTAACATTTGTCATTAACAAGTGAGTTTTATTTAGATTTTTATTTTTATTTTTATTTTTTTTTTTTCATTGGGGGATTTTTGTTCAAACAAAATAATGCTGGTCACGTTTTGGGAATGGGTGAAAAAATAGATCCCAAGTGATTCAACATATGTAAATCTTTTTTTTTATAAATATGCATGCGTATAATTTATGCTTATTAAAAAAATATTAATAAAGAAGAATCCATTGTACACACAACAGTACATATGTATATCATTGAAGACGTGTCATTATGAGATATTCATGCGTAAGAAGAATAAGAAAAAACATATATGTCATAATGCTTATGCGTTTTAGATGCAAAAAGAAAAAAAAAAAAGAAAAAAAAAGAAAGAAAACTCTGAACGTTGTGTCAAGAAAAAATAAAGTGTTAAGAATTATGGTAAACATGGCTTATAACGCATACACGCGTTACCTATACATACAATTTTCTATCATCTTGTTTAATTTTCTTAGAAAACTTACATCCTCTTTCATTATCCTTTATTTTTCCAAATATACCGGTAATTAGAAAAATCGGTATTATTGTTAAGACTATTTAAAAAAAAAAAAAAGAAAAATTATATTTTTCTATTACGTTAGAATATTTTTAATATTTTGTCTAATGTGTTGTTTATTATATTGTATATTGCATTATACTATATTTTTATATATAGGGTGGTTAACATCAGTTAAATAGCATTTTATTTCTGTTTAATATATATTTAATGAAATCGTATAACATGATGTTATAATGACCCACCCTATATATCTATACGAGATTTATAATGATATTATATATTTATTATGATAATTAATTATTTTATTGTAATTTTTGCAGACTTTTAAAATCAAAGTGGCTAATTTCAGACGAATCCGTAAAGTATCAGTTTCATCATCCATGAAATCGACGGTACCTTTTCAACAATTTAAAAGTGAGTAAATATTTCATTAATAAACAATGTACACCAATCAATTGATTTCTTTGATTAAATGATTATAAATAAAAAAAGAAATACTTTTTTTCATTATTATTTTAAAAAGAAAAAGAAAAAGAAAAAAAACAGAGAAAAAGAAGGTGTTACACACAAAGTAACATTGAAAATAAATGAGCATACTTTTTTTTTTTAACATACTAGAAAAAAAAAGAACTTGACTAATAAAACAACAAAAACAATTTAATAAGCGTAACTTTTTGTTTAGTTTAGTTTTTAATTTCGCGATCTTCGTTTGAACGTACTTGTTTGTCAAGTTTTTTTTTTAATAAACTTCCCACTATAAACAATAAGTCGTTTGAACTTAGATCGCAACTATTATCTATTTTCTCAATAATTATTATCGTATTATAAATTGATATAAGCAATTGTATTGATCATTAATTTTACGATATGTTTTTATTTTTTATAATACTTATCTCATCAACAAGGAAATAAACATAATAAGGAACAGTTTTTAGATGCAGGTAATTAACATCTGCGTCAATATAGTATTATGCTCTAATGCGCAATTATTATTTAATCATCTTATTGTTATTACAAAATTATCTTATTAATGACGTATTAATATAATTTAAATATTAAATGATAATTTTTACACGATAAATAACAATAATTTACATTCATTTTAATTTCTTTCTTTTTTTTTTTTTTTTTGTAATTATTTATACATTCTGAACGAAAGGATAATTGGATTGAATAATAAAAGATGGATATTTGATTAAAATTGATTGAAATGTTACCTTTACAATCCTTTTTTAAAGATGATGTTTCAGGAACTTTGAGATGAAAAAGATTTTGTAGATGTAGAAATTTTAATTGGAACAGGATTAAATATAAAAACTTTTCTTCAAGTTAAAATATCAAATGGGTTGTAAGAAGAATAATAAAAGGGATATACTATCCATATTTGTTGAACGTTGCAACTTCTTATTGTTTATTTGCTAAAAAAAAATGTATCTTAGTTTAAATGATACTAAATATTAGTAGAGTACAATACTATTAAATTAACAATTAAATAATAGTTAATTAATTGAAAAAAAGTATATATAGTAATCTAAAAACATGAATTTACCCTTCGATGTACCGTCCTCTTCGAAATCCCCCATAAGACTGGCTGTGTTGTCCCCTATGAAAGTTCTTTTATTCAATGTTGTTTATATGACTTTCCATAAAAGGAATTTCTATTTACTTTGAGTAAATAGAATTCACCACATGATATTGGGATCTCTAGCACTTGAATACGCTATCTGGTGGTTAAATTCAAAATTAGAATAGATAGGTCGAATTGCTACGTCATGTGGGATCTCTAGCACTTGAATACACTATCTGGTGGCTAAATTCAAAATGAGAATAGATAGGTCGAATTGCTACGCCACGCCCCTGCCAGAGATCCCAATATATGCAACCTCCTGACAGTAATAAAAACAACATTGAATAAAAGAACTAAATAAAGGATAATGACAATTGATTTTGATACACTCACGCATACTTTTGATACACATACACACATACACATATATTATCTAATATTAGAACTTTACAAAATCGTGTTTAGTTTTTATTTCATCTAATTGAACTAATCGTTGAATTTAAATGTGAAATACACACACACAATGATTTTATTTTAACTTTCAAATTCTTAGATTAATATCGTCGCTTTTTAAAAAAGAAAGAAAATCCATCTATCGCTGTTTTTTAATTCAAGATACTTAACATGATAATTATATAAAAACGACATTTCTCTAAAATGAAAGTTGGAAAGTGTTATGTAAGAAATAAAGTTCGAATGGTTGAACTCGATCTGATTTTTTTTCTAATTGAATCAAAAATACCACGTTTATCTCTTAATTGCAAATAACATTTAGTTAAATATTATCGAATGATCGAACGAATGGTTTTTTTTTTTTTTTATTACATTTATATTGAAATATTTGAAGAAATTTGATAAAGTTTATTTATTTACAGTTAATATTTACTGACACAAAATTAAAAATTGATTCGAAGTATTTCTACATTGAATCATTTTTTCTGTATAATATTAATAATGCATAGAATTTAAAATCATAGAATATAATTGTGCCTATAATTATGAAAGTAATCTAAGTCATGTATCTCTTATTTCGAAATATTTAACACGTTCGTTGCCATGTCACCGTATAGAGGAGACGGGTATGCTTCCCTGTGGGCCCCGTCACCGTATATGGTGACGCTCTTCTTGTCGAAGGATAGTATAGGATTTTTAGTTGATTGGAAAAACTTATCACATTTCTCATTTCGAAACAAAATTATTTTCGATAAATAAAAGATACTTTTATATTTTATTATTTTCTGTAAATAAAATATAATAATATAATATAACCGTAATACTCGGGTTGCATTGTTGATATTTCTACTTATCGCTTCTTTACGTTACGGCGCGCCGACAGTCGATTTTTGGGCCAGGCGAAAAACTCAACCGAAACGGGCTGGGCGACGAGCGTGTTAAAGATTTCTATTTGAACATTATATGAATTCTATGTAATATTGAAAAAACAAACATTATCTAACGATTCATTTTTGACAATATCGTGAAAATTACATTGAATTTATTTAATTTAAAATAATGTGGCGCGTAATAACTAATAAACTCTTTTTTTATTTTTTTTTTTTATTTTGACTTAGACCATTTTCATAATTATGGGCACAAGATAAGTTTGATACGTCATGTAATTAAAATCATAAAAAAAATACTCCTCGGATGTTTTATTTTTAACATATTTGCAATTATTGAAAATGATTGCAATACGATAATTAAACAGAAATTATTATTATTATTTTTTTTTTTTTTTTTTAATAAAAGTACACTAAGCAAATAACATTTCTTATCGAAAAAATTTGCATTTTTCTAAGAAATAAAAATAATGCATAGAAGGAAATAAAAACTAGTATAATATATACACACATACAATCAGAGATAAATATATATATATATAAATGGATAAGTACTGTATATATATATAGAAATAACTAACAGAAAAATTTACACACAATACTGTCATTGTTATGCACTTAAAATTTATTAAATATATATATATATATATACATTAAAGATTTACCTTAAGTTATATGTATTTATATATTAATAAATGTATTATTATTATTATTATTATTGTTAACTGGCATTAGGAACTCGAAAATTCATTACCGCAAATACCAAATTCTGCCATTGTTACCGTCCCTGAGCGTGATCCTTCCATTCGCGATCTTCGTATCCCATTTCTTTCAGGTCCTTTCTAATATTATCCTCCCATCTACGTCTCGGTCAACCTAGTGGTCTTTTCCCGTTCAGTATACCGACCAATATTTTATGCGTCGTTCAATCCTCCCCCATGCGCATCATATAACCAGCCCATCTTAATCAGCGTGATTTTACGACATTGATAATGTCCGGTTTATTGTACAATCGATGTACTTCAACGTTATGGAGTTTTCTCCATTTGCCCGTTTCCTCATCGCGTTTTGCACCGAACATTTTACGAAGAACTTTGTTTTCAAAAACTCTACATTTCTTTTCGTCCCGTAACATAAGCGACCACAATTCGCAACCATAAAGGACTACCGGCAGGATGATTGTCCTGTATATCCTGATTTTAAATCGCCTAGACAACAACCGCGAGCTGAGTAATTTGTTAACCGAATAAAAACATGAATTGCCTAGATTGATTTCTTTTCTCAAGTTCTTCGTTAATTTCGTTCGTCTGATTTATGATCGATCCTAAATACCTAAAGTTGCTGATCCGTTCAAAAGTTTTATCCCGGACGACCAAAGTTCTAGTACTAGGCCTATTCTGAACTCTATCGGTTATCATATATTTGATTTTTCCCCGCTTATTTGCAGTCCCAGATCTTTAGTATTATCTATTAAATTAACAAATGTATAATTATATAATATTAATAATATTATATAATTTGTCTCATTGGCGGAAGAAAAAAAGATAAAGGTCTGTTCAATTGCTTGACTTTTTTTTTTCTAAGAAAAAAAAAAGATAAAGGTCTATTCAATTGCTTGACTTTTTTTCTCTAAGAAGAACAAAAAGAAATCTTATTAAGAATAATACAAAAATTTATTCAGTTTGTATACTAATAATTGACTTATGAATATATTTAAACATGTATATAT